CAAACACTCAATGTAAGGAATACCCCCAACACCTTACTGACAAGAAGCAAAACGATACAAAACACAAAAAAACAGGTTGCGCCGAATACTGTGTCTATTAAGTCCAATAAAACAATTCTTTGGAAGATCTTGGCTTGGCATCATCCAGGCTTCAGTTGGCGATGCGTGTATGGAACAGAAAATAACCAATAATAGTTCAGATAGTCAAATATTTAGTGTAGGAAACACACCAAGGATATGTAGGATCACACTCACACTTGTTAGAGCTATAGACTAGCTCTGAGTAAAACCGCGTACAGCGGTATAATTACCACTGGTGGCTATGTAGCTCTTTAGTGGTAAATCTCACAGCATCCAAATGAATATAAAAAAGTAAAATATAAATATATAAACAGTATTCAGCGCAACCAGTTTTTTGTGTTTTGTATATTTATTTGTTTTGTTTTTTTGTCCTCTTTTGCCCGTTGCCAAATACTTGATTTTTGCAAACAAAACGAGAAACTTGTGCAGTCTAACTCCCCACTTATGGTTTCGAGTTCCATGGGAGAAGTGGTTTGACACACAGAATCAAACCGTTTTACTTTCTACATAAAGCACTGTTATTGCATGCAACTGGGGGTGGGGGGGGGGAGTTTATGGCTCCGCTAATTCAAGGAAATGGAAACAATTCTGTTGCCCTTGTCTGTACTGTGTGTTAGTAGTATTTGTCATCACTTACAAAGTGCATGCTTAGTAATTCTCTAATAGAAAGCAAGGGAAGGGTCAAGAATGACAGGGACAAAAAGAAGGCTAAATATATTCCATACAACATTTTATAACAGGGTAAGAATTTTTCTCATAACTAGAACTTGATTATCAACCCATTGTAGGAATCTCCACACAGTGGAAAAAGCAGCCTAATAGTTGTTGCAAGCTATAGATAGCGGGAAGATAAATCTTGATTGCAGGAAACAATCTTGTGATACCATCTCTTACAAAACCAAAAAGTTAGTTTATGCTGCTTTTGATATCTTGGAGAAACGTTTCAATATCCGTAGCGAGAAGTTGTAACGCCAAGCTTGTGTCATTCATTTTCAGTATACATTAGTCATCATTAATAAAATGAAGGTAACTATTAGAACATTTGTTTTCTGACCTGTTCAAACTTTCATTTGTAAAATTGCAGAGAACGTGTATTTTCAAATTCCTCGGAGCACTAGCAGTGGATCTTGGAAAAGAAAGAGTCGAACAGTTTCTCCCAACAATAATAACTCCACTTTTCAGGGAGTTGAGCAGCAGTTATTCGGAACAAGGTAACTCGAAAATAAGGCTGTATCTAGTGCATTTATCACATATACTCTTGATGCACATACTATTTTTTTCCCCAACTTATTTTTGAATTTATTTGGTTCATTGGTATCTTTGTCCTGGCCATATAACTGAAACACTATGTGTGAGTGAATAGAGGACCCCATATTATCATTTTCATTAACTGCTATGTCATAAAGGGACATTCCAGCCTTTTTTTTTTTGTGTGTGTACCTAATTACATATGATAATGTACTGGATTTATTTATTTTTTTAAAGAAAAACAATTTATACTAACATTAGAATTTCTTATATTGGCTGAAAGCATTTGTTGGGTAAAGCTTATTGTAGGAACATAATGAATTCACCTCAGCAGTTCCTTTAGTGTCCTTGCCATTATTGATTGATTTCACACAGATGAGATCATATAATTTATACACGCTGCTTGATTTATATGTCGTTTTCCTACAATTTTTGAATGATTCTGTACACAAGTCAACTGACCTTTACCTTGTGATAAATCATAACAGCAAGTAGTGTAAACAAATGTATTTCTTCACATATTCAGAATAGTGAATAAATTCTGTTGGAATTAGTGGTAGCAATGTAATAATGTCTGATTTCATTTTCAGATTCAACCCTCAAAAATCTCGCTCAAGAGATCATAGATCTTCTGAAGAACTTAGTGGGCCTGGAACAATTCTCTCTACTGTTTTCAGCGGTGCAGAAACAGGCCAATCAGAAGAGAGCCATGAGGAAAAAACAAAAGGCTTTGCAGGTAACATTTTCATTCTGCTATTTACAAAGCAGACGTCCACTTGAATTTAATTTTAATAGGGAAATCACACAGGCAAAGCAATTGTTTGTCAGTATTTCAGAGTGCATCTAACATTTTTGGGCAAATTCTAGTCAAATCATTTTTATTGAATAATTTTCAGTATATTAAAACAAACATTTTAAATTAATTAAAAAAAAACATAACAAGAGGGGTGAGGAGACAGAAAACCAAAGGGGGTAAAACATCCATCCAAATGTTCATGTTAAACAGAGTAGTTCTAATAAACAGTCACACATTAAAACAAACATATAAGTATATTAGTAAATTCTCCCAGTCAGCTGTGTTCAGTATGGATGTTCTGGTCTAACTCTGTAAGACATTAATTCACTAGGACTTAGTGTGAGATCCTTCAAACGTACTATTTTATTTATTATTGCAATTTAACTCCCCACTACTATTGAGGAGTTATTTCTGCAATTACAAGCTATTTAATCAATCAGGACCTGCATGGGGCAAATCAATTTTATAGTAACTATCTTGATGGGATTAAAGTGTTGCTCCACGTACCATGGGCACTCTAGTGATTTAAAGTGGTCATGGTGCTCAAAGTCTGTAAGTGCACAGAACTTTGCTGTGGGAAGTTTACCTCCACCCCTGTCAGTTCTGTGTATGAAAGGAACTTGTCATCAGCAGACATGGCTTGCTGGTAATGGACAACCAGTGGCAGCCATGTCTCCCCGCAAGCTTGACCTTTGCTAAGGTGCAGACTGCAGGGAGAATCTGTCCTTGGCTTGTGATTGCAGGTAATCTTCTTCTATTAAAACATGTATGGATTAGCCCTTTAAGACGTTGTCTTAAAGGGACACTATAGGCATCAAAACAACTTTAGCTTAATGAAGCAGCTTTTGTGTATAGATCATGCGTCTGATGTTTCACTGCTCAATTCACTGCCATTTAGGAGTTAAATCAATATTTAATTTAGGTAGCCCTAGCTCCTACACCTCCTCTGTCTGTGACTCATACAGCCTGCATGAAAGAAATGGTTTACTTTTCAAATTTTTTTTATCTTGGTCTCTGCACTTTTAAGTTTACTTACGTACAGGAGGCTCCTGCATTGTCTAGCAAGCTATTAACTGAGCAGATAATAAGAAAATTAAATTAAACAAAATTTGCAACAAAAGTATAAACCTTAGATGACTCTACTGTTTGGGAAGGCTGTGTAAATCACATGCTGGGAGGTATTGCTAGAGTTGCAGAAACAAAGTGATTTAACTCCTAAATTGCAGAGAATTGAGCAATGAGATTGCAGGGGCATGATCAAAAATACCAAAGCAGTTTCATAAAGCTAAAGTTGTTTTGGGAGCTATAGTGTCCCTTTCAAGGACTACTCCACACCTCAAAAGCACTTGCTTTGAGCTAGCGGAAGTGGCAGGCACGCTCTACTTGAGCATGCCTGCCTCCCCCTCACAGACCAGCGTGCACCAATTCAGAGGCTTCTCAATGAAAAGCCTCTGATTTGTTATTTCCCTATGAGGAGACAAAGTCTTTTGCAGGGAAAAAGGGGATGGCTTGCTAAGGCTGCAGTTCATAAGATCTGCAGCTTTTGCAAGCTTTTTTTAAGATATATGTGCATGAAAAAACATGCATGTATTCATTGAGGGTATATCTACTAAACATTGATTTTTTTTTTCTTGGTGGCAAAGTGCTCATTTAAGTAATGTGAACTGATTCATACTGTATTAATTTAAATTTAATTATTTTATTTTTTTTTGCCCATAGGCTGTTGCGAATCCTGATATAGCTGCTAAGAAGAAACTCAAGAAACACAAAAACAAGATAGAAGCTAAAAAGAGAAAAATTGAATTCCTGCGACCAGGCTACAAAGCCAAAAAAGCACGTGGTCACGCTCTTAAAGATTTAGCAATGGTGGAATAAAAGAACTATTCTTTAATGGAAATGTAGGGAGTATTATTGTAAATAGACTGTTTGATAAAAGTGCAGTTATATCTTTCAGGAACAGTGTGTATGAATTGCTTTGAAAATAAGTGTACAGTTTAATGTACCTAACTGCCATTTTATAATTAAATATCAAAACTTAGCATTTTGCACATGTGAATCTGTGATACAAAATATTATGTAAGATTTAGGGATATTTATTGATGTCCTCTTTTACCAAAACATCAAATCAGGGATATAAGAACTATTTGTGTGTCATACAAATGGAATCAGGAGCTTCTGAGCTTAGTATTATTAGGGGCTTCTTTTGAAGCAATGGTTTTTAACATCTGATTTGGGACCCAAACTTTGGATCCATGTTAATTTAGTGGGCTCCCACTGGATGAAACAGATACATCATGTTTTGTGGAACCCAGACATCTGTCCACTGATTTATTGTATCATTATTATCGTTTACAGTGCAGTGGACAATCTTCAAAAATATTTAACACAATTTCTTTTACGTTGAATGGGATGCCCAGCTAATGTTATGTACATTAGAGTCCTTGAAAATAACACTTTAATATTATTTAGATATATTAATCATCATACATTAAAGGAACACTATAGTAACCTAAATTACTTTAGCTAAATAAAGCAGTTTTAGTGTATAGATCATTCCCCTGCAATTTCACTGCTCAATTCACTGTCATTTAGGAGTTAAATCACATTGTTTCTGTTTATGCAGCCCTAGCCACACCTCCCCTGGCTATGATTGACAGAGCCTGCATGAAAAAAAAAACTGGTTTCACTTTCAAACAGATGTAATTTACCTTAAATAATTGTATCTCAATCTCTAAATTGAACTTTAATCACATACAGGAGGCTCTTGCAGGGTCTAGCAAAGCTATTAACATAGCAGGGGATAAGAAAATCTTAATTAAACAGAACTTGCAATAAAGAAAGCCTAAATAGGGCTCTCTTTACAGGAAGTGTTTATGGAAGGCTGTGCAAGTCACATGCAGGGAGGTGTGACTAGGGTTCATAAACAAAGGGATTTAACTCCTAAATGGCAGAGGATTGAGCAGTGAGGCTGCAGGGGCATATTCTATACAGCAAAACGGCTTCATTAAGCTAAAGTTGTTCAGGTGACTATAGTGTCCCTTTAAGGTATACTTACTGTGCCAAAAATTGTAGATTTTCTCTTCCAAAAATTATAAAATGTAAATTTCCCACAATTTTTTAGTAAATAGCCATATATGGCTAACAAGATATCACACAATAAGTGATGTATAATACATAATGTGTTTGCTATCTAAGTAAATATTAAAATGAAACCACCACTTAAATGTATGTCGAGAAGAATCTGTGTATCTTTCACTACATTTTTATCTGCTTTAGAACCAATCACGTTAATCACATGGATGTCATCTTAAAGGGGTCTTAAAAATAAGAGAAAAGGTTGATAATTTTATAAATCCAGGTTGTAGGTAACAAGTCTACTTTAGCTTTACTGTGCAACTAAACCATGACACTTTTTTAAAATACATACTGAAAAGACAATGACATTAGCAAGCAAGGTTACTAAAGAAATAGTTTATTTTGGAAGGGATCATTAACATGAAGTTTCAACAGTATTTTTTTTTATCTATCCCACTGCTACTGTGGAGCTGGTCATAAGATAACTACCTTATGTAGTTATAGTAAGCAGAATGTTAGTTTTAATTTAAAAAAAAAAAAAGAAAAAAAAAAAGTGGGCCCCATAGTAAAGATTGCACACCGGAAGAATGCATTCTCAAAAAAGTCAGTTATTACAAAAATTTCATAAATAAAAGAGAATCTACACTACATAAAGCACAGTATGGTACATTGCTATTGGAAAACAAGTCATATAGATGCAACGTCCTTTTTAATAACTAAAGGAGCCATTTCAGGTAACGATGGTGCAAATTCTATGTACATCCAGCAACATTCTCTTGTGGAGTGACGGACAAAGGTGGACTAGAACGATTTACTGCCTGCTTTTCAAGGATTCAACCAACCTGCAAGGTAGAAAATCAAACATTGCAAGTTTATTTCCATAATATCCACTGTATTTAAAAAAAACACCACAACAAAACATTAAATGCATAGAATTTTTTTTCAGAGAAAAGGCAGTGTTTACATGCCTAGAGACACTCCGGGGCCAGTCACTCAGAAGGCCACTAGAGGTGCTACCTGGGTCAGTGTGATGCTGAACATTCCTTTATGGAGGAGGCTCTATGAGGAGAGGCTGATGGGCCAGCACAGCGTTTGGCTCTGCACCCCTGCCCCGCCTCGTTGGCCAAGGGGGAGGTGACAGATTTTTGCTTATATTAAATTTGTACACGTCAAGTGCAACTAAAGAGAAAGAACTCGAAATATTCACGTATCAGTCCTGATTGTTAAATGGCTTAGATATCTAGAATCGAAATTAATTTTTCGTAGTCAACGCTAACCTTTTGCATACTATAACCTTACATGATCTCTTCCCCGATGCTAATGTCAGAACTTACTATCAGAAAATGGATTTCCAAGCTAAAATAAAACAAAGCAGTCTGTGACCTCCCTCTACTCATGATTTGCAGCACGCCTTCTCTGCCGATAACCCTTTGTTCAGTGCTGGGCAGCTGGCAAAGCCCAGCACCGATCACAATTGTCAGGGGGCATGCAGGGGAGACCCTATCCGGATCTCAGTGTGCAGCAAGAGAATCCGCATTATAGTGCAATTGCAGGGATTTAAAGCACATTTAAAAGGGCTGCATCAATGTTAATTTTGTCGACTACACTTGGCTAAAACAATTAAGATTACTAAAATAAGACTAAAACTAAATTGAAATTTGCAGCCAAAATTAACACTGAGCTGCATACAGCAGGCAATCGGGCCACTAAATATGGGCACAGCTGACAGAGTTGAGTCCTAGGTATTGATACCTGTGAGCAGGGATTTAACGCTTCTCACCCCAGAATGTTAGACATTCCATAACATCATAAAAGCCCAGTAATGTAAGACTGTAAACAGATTATCCTAATGTTGTTAAAAGCGCACTATAGGGTCAGGAACACAAACCTTTATTTCAAACTCTATAGTGTTCAAATCAGCATCTAGCCCCCTGACCGCCTCTTGACTACCTAAATATAGTAAAATCTTACTTGTATTCAAGTCTGTAGCTGCTGGCTCTGCCCGTCTGCCTCTGACTTGCCCCGTTCTGCGGACACCAGCAGAAGTGCTGGTCTGAGCCAAATCACAATAATTCCCCATAGAATTGGTTAAGACTGTCAAGGAGGCAAACGAAGCACAAGTCGAACAGCATCTCCTCAGAGATTAATTGAATCAATGCATTTCTATGAGGAAAGTTCAGCGTCTGCATGCAGAGGGTGCAGACGCTGAATGGCAGTGCTGCTAATTCTGCAGCACTAACTAACAGCACCTCTAGCAGCCATCTAAGGAGTGGCCAGTGAAGTGATCACTAGGCTGTAATGTAAACACTGCATTTTTTCTGAAAAGACAGTGTTTGCAGGAAAAAAGCCAGAAGGGAATGATTATATTCACCAGAATGCAATAAGTTGTAGTTGTTCTGGTGACTATAGTGTCCCTTGAATGGGTTAAGCAATGAGATTTAAAGGGACACTATAGTCACCTGAACAACTACAGCTTATTGTAGTTGTTCTGGTGCGTAGAATCAACTTTTTGCAGTAAACACAGTCTTTTCAGAGAAATTGCAGTATTTACATTACAGCCTAGTGATAACTCCACGGGCCACTCCTCAGATGGCTACTAGAGGTGCTTCGTGGGGCAGTGCTGCCATTCAGTGTCTCCACCCTCTGCACGGAGATGCATTGATTCAATGTATCTCTATGAGTAAATGCTGATTGGCCAGGGCTGTGTTTGACTTGTTCTGGCTCTGCCCCAGATCTGCATCCTTGACAGTCTCAGCCAATCCTATGGTAAAGCATTGTGACTGGCTCACAGAATCACTTTTGATGATGTCAGCCAAGCAGGGGCAGAGGCAGCAGCTGCAGACTTGACAACAAGTAAGATTTTACTATATTTACAGAGCCTAGATGGTGGTTTTAACACTATACGGTCAGGAATACGTGTGTGTGTGTGTGTGTGTGTGTGTTCCTGACCCAATAGAAATCTTTTAAAGGAAAATAACTTTTCAATATCTATAGATCCAATTACAGTGTTTTACATAGGAATGAAAAATAACTGTCACTTCAACTTGCACACTTAAAAAGTAAATAAAAAATAATGTAAACCTCAGTGACCAGGTATATTACCAGCTAAATGGATATAACAGAACTATGCTTAGCGCATAGTCCCCTGCACAGGAGGGGTTGTGGCATTTAGGGTATATTTCATGTTGCATGCAAACATTTAAAAGTACAGCCCACTGTGTCCATTATAGATACATTTTGTTAAATTAAAGAAACACAAGAAAAAGTGGCCAACAGTGCAAATTCACCATTACAGAGGAAAAGAAAAACAGAAAAAGAAGTAGTAGGGGAAGCCGCTGTCTGTGGATCAGAGCACATATGCACTGCCCTTTTTAAATAAGTATTCCTGTTTTACCAGGAAACTATTTGGCATGGTCATAGATTAGTCTAAATTTCTGCTGAAAGTTTAGGCTTATGAAATAGATATTGCTCTGTCATATATACAACAGGAGGTTTTCAGTATAATTACTAATACGAGACCATGTTTGTCAAACCAAAGAATAGAGATTGACTGTTTGTTCTAACAATTATGTTTTTCCTTAGATTGACAGACTGTATAAATAGCAGGTGTACCTGCTGCTTTTAAATGGGATTAAAAGTGAACAAATTTTGCTTGGTTTGAGAGTGGGAGGACAGCCACAAACAATTGAATGAGATGGCAGAATGACTGCTGCACTTTTACAGAAACATGTCATCTAATTGGCCTTGCATTCATTACTCTGTGCATAGACTACATAAAGACATTACCATTCCATAGCTTCGTCAAGTCCAGTGCCCTTCATTGCAGAGGTTTTGAAAATCTGCCATTTACGGTCTTTCAAAGCTGGCAAGCCAAGGGAATTAGCAACCTCTGTAGGTGTCATGGCCTGCTCCATGTCCTGTTTGTTTGCAAACACTACTAAGATAGCTTTCTTTAATTCTTCTTCCTGGAATTCAGAGCAGTCACATTTACAATGTTTTATTGCATGACTATGAAACAGAGCAGAATTTTTTTTTTGTTTTGTTTTTTAAATGAGTACAGTTTAAATGCACTGAAACTATAGTTACAACAAAAGTAAACTGTAACAGATATATATACTGCAACTGCAATAATTAAAGTTCAGATTTGTGACACTGATAGCTTATCGTTTCAACTTTCTGAGTTTAACCCCTTAGGGACACGACATGTGTGACATGTCATGATTCCCTTTTATTCCAGAAGTTTGGTCATTAAGGGGTTAATAAACTGAATACTACAGAATAACATATAACATGTAGACTCTAGGATATACTTGAGATTAGTTACACTACCTAGTTTTGGATATAGGAGAGGGTTATTCATTAACCCCTTAAGGACACAGCTTCAGAAGCTTGTCTTACGCTTAATGACACAAGCAATTTTTGCATTTTCTTGCTGTATGCGTTCAACTGCAATTTGCATCTCTCTCGTTTATTGCACCGACACATATTATATACTGTTTTTTTAAAGGACATAAAGGGCTTTAATTTGATGTAACATATATATATATAAATGCCTATTTATTATTTAAAAAATACAGAAAAATGCAAAAAAAAGAAAATATTTGTGTGTTTTTTTACAGTTTTTGCAATAATAATGTGTGCCTAATTAGTGCAGGTTAAAGAAAGTAATTAAAAATAAATTTATTTAGTTGTTCTGATTTACAAAATATATAATGTGTCTGGGATTTAAAGTTTTTTTTGGTAGTTACAGGTCATAAAGCACAAGGAGTAAAATAAACTTTTAATGTAGAGCGATTTTAGAATTTTGTATGTTTGTCTTGTAAGCTTAATAGCCATAAAAGAAAACAAAATTGCCACACAAAAGTATATATTTATATAAAGTAGACATCACAGGCTATTGTCCTAAGGTTTTTTTGACACTTTCTAAGTAGCCATTTCACCGCCAATCTCTGCTAAATATTGGAGTAAAATTTAGTTTTTTGGAGTTTTTGGCACACAAACTTATAACAAAGAACTTCCCATGTATATTTTGTAAAGTTGGTGTGTGCTATTCCTGTACAAAGTTTTATTTTGTGTTCAGTTACTTCTGCTGAGTACAACGATACCCCCATTGTATGTCTTTGGCACTATTTCGTGAAGCTACAGTGCCATATAGGAGACCTGTCCGTTTCAACATTTACAGTAGAATTTTGAGAGGCGGATTTAATGGGCCTATGCTTCAATTTGGGGTATTATAGCAGTTTGACTGTTCAAAAAAAACCCACAAAGGCCTACCATTTATAAAAGTAGACACTCCAGGGTATCTCATATGGTGCATATTGTGCCTTAACATGCCCCCATTTTTTCACCAATATATGCCAAAGTATGTGGTAAAAAATAATTTTGGGCATTTTTTACATACGGATTACATTTTTGCTGGGCATTTTGTACATTTCATATGTGCCACTAAGTTCAAACCCCCCAAATTATGCTCAGCTAAGTCTTCTGAGTAAAACAATATGCCCAATGTATGACCTAGACACTATTTTGTGAAGTTACACTGCTGTAAAAGAGACATGGCAAGTTAAGGTTTTTAAGTGTGAATTTTCATGGAGAGTTCTGATGCGTCCGTGTCCCACTTTCGAGCACTTGAGCAGGCTACATATTACAGCTGCACCATAAAGGCATACCATTTCTTAAAGAACACATCCCATATTTTGAACCTTAGCGTGGGATAATTTTTCCGCTAGCTTGTACCAAGTGTAATGGTAATAAGCGTTTTTTTGCCTTTTTGACACACAAAGTAAATTTGCGCAGTACATTTTGCAAATCTTATGTGTGCTACGACTGTATAATACTTCATATGTTGCTCAGCTATGTCGGCTGGGTACATCAATACCCCCGTATGTACCTTTGCCAGGTATATGTGGACATCGGAGGGGCACATTTGGGACACAGCCATTCCAGTTCATTTCAAACTTTAAATTTTTACACTGTTCCCATGTCCCATTTTAGAGTATTTTACCAGGCTATATAATCCAAATACCCCATAAAGCCATACCATTTCTTAAAGAAGACATCCCGGGGTAATTCAAATGGCATATTTTGAACCTTAGCGTGGGATAATTTTTCCGCTAGCTTGTACCAAGTGTAGTGGTAATAAGCATTTTTTCTGCCTTTTTGACACACAAAGTGAGTTTGCGCAGTATATTTTGCAAACCTTATGTGTACTACGACTGTATACTACTTCATATGTTGCTCAGCTATGTCGGCTGAGTACATCAATACCCCCGTATGTACCTTTACCAGGTTTATGTGGACATTGAAGGGGCACATTTGAGACACAGCCATTCCATTTTTTTCAAACTTTGAATTTTTACGCTGTGTCCATGTCCCATTTTAGAGTATTTTAAAAGGCTATATAATCCAATTACACCATAAAGGCATACCATTTCTTAAAGAAGACATCCCGGGGTAATTCAAAAGGCATAAAATATATCAGATAAAAATCTAATAAAAAATCCAGGAATGGTTAACGTGATATACCTTTAAATCTCTTTAGAATAGTGGTAAGACTAGTAATAATTCATTACTTATTTAAAATTTCATAAAAAATATATCATAAAAAGTATATATATTTTTTGCAACAGATCATTCACAGTAATATCCAATAAATAACACAAAAAAAAAAAAAAAAGAAGAAGAAAAGGAAATAAATTGTCCAATTGATAACAGTCTTGTAAATAGATACTATGTATCAAATAGTAGCAGCAGTCTTTTAAATTGTAAACTGACTCAGTTCACTCCAGTTATAGAAGAACTGGTATATGGATACTGAGTGAGTTAATATACTGTGTGTACAATATTATATTATAAATGGTCCTATTTTATAATAATTGTACCCTTGTAAAAAGTAATAAATAGATATAAAATATCATTGATAGGTCATAGTTGATGGCCCTCAATAAAATATATGTTTAATTCACCATTAAAAACTGAAGTGCTGAAATGGTTAAAAATATTCAATTTTATTTGAAATTGCCCTGGACAACTCTGTTTACGACATTCATTGCTTTCTGGCACCTATCGCAAATCAACTTTATTGCCCTGGAACGCAGGAACTGTGACACGCACGCCGCTCACAGAGAGCCTGCTCACCTACTGTCCTAGTGATTACAACTATTACATGTTACACATCAGTAACAAGATTACCTAGTGGAATTTAAATTGCTGCCGAACGAAGGAAGAAAACAAAGATACACACGAGGCTCACGGAGAGCCAGCTCTTCCATTTATTTGACGATCGGACTGCAACAACTGTATACACCAGGTTCCAAAACTGCAACCGGGCAAGAAGTTTGATATCAAAGTGTGAGTGCCTAATATAACTTTTAATTTGATTTTTTCAAATAAAATTGAATATTTTTAACCATTTCAGCACTTCAGTTTTTAATGGTGAATTAAACATATATTTTATTGAGGGCCATCAACTATGACCTATCAATGATATTTTATATCTATTTATTACTTTTTACAAGGGTACAATTATTATAAAATAGGACCATTTATAATATAATATTGTACACACAGTATACTAACTCACTCAGTATCCATATACCAGTTCTTCTATAACTGGAGTGAACTGAGTCAGTTTACAATTTAAAAGACTGCTGCTACTATTTGATACATAGTATCTATTTACAAGACTGTTATCAATTGGACAATTTATTTCCTTTTCTTCTTCTTTTTTTTTTTTTTGTGTTATTTATTGGATATTACTGTGAATGATCTGTTGCAAAAAATATATATACTTTTTATGATATATTTTTTATGAAATTTTAAATAAGTAATGAATTATTACTAGTCTTACCACTATTCTAAAGAGATTTAAAGGTATATCACGTTAACCATTCCTGGATTTTTTTATTAGATTTTTATCTGATATATTTTTTGTTTTACTTTGCAATATTAAGGATTTTTTAGTGGAATCCTTATTTTTCCAGTAGAGTGGTTTACTGCAGCCATACTAGGTTCTCTAACACACGGTTATTTTTCATATTAACCATAACGTTATATTTTGAATTCAAAAGGCATATTTTGAACCTTAGCGTGGGATAATTTTTCCGCTAGCTTGTACCAAGTGTAGTGGTAATAAGCATTTTTTCTGCTTTTTTGACACACAAAGTGAGTTTGCGCAGTATATTTTGCAAACCTTATGTGTACTACGACTGTATACTACTTCATATGTTGCTCAGCTATGTCGGCTGAGTACATCAATACCCCCGTATGTACCTTTGCCAGGTTTATGTGGACATTGAAGGGGCACATTTGAGACACAGCCATTCCATTTTTTTTAAACTTTGAATTTTTACGCTGTGTCCATGTCCCATTTTAGAGTATTTTACAAGGCTATATCATCCAATTACACCATAAAGGCATATCATTTCTTAAAGAAGACATCCCAGGGTAATTCAAAAGGCATATTTTGAACCTTAGCGTGGGATAATATTTCCGCTAGCTTGTACCAAGTGTAGTGGTAATGAGCATTTTTAAATGTATTTTTTTACTTTGTAAAACTTTTTTTACTTTGTAAAACCCATTTTTAAACTTTTTTTTTTACTTATTAAATGTTTTACACTATCTTAACTTTTTTTACACTTTTAATTTTTTTTCTAAACTTTTCTTTTACCGTTAACCCCTAACTAGCAGTAAGCAGCACTAACCGTAAATTCCCCATTTTCCCATAACTCCCACCCACCCCAGCTAGCAAAATATTTAATTATAAAATATTTAAATTAATTAATTAAATAAATGGAACCCCTGAGGGTTAAAAAAAAAAAAATAAAAGTTAATCCTCAGGGGTTAAAAAAATTAGATCACAGTATAATACTGTGATCTGTATTTTGATCACTGTAGGCAGTGATCAGCTGGCAGGGAAGGGGTTAATTTTTATTTAGACTGGGTAAAGGGGGTGGTATTTTTTTTTTTTTTACTTAAACGTTACTAAAACATTTAAAAAAAAATTTTTTTTTACCTTTTTAAAGCTTATTTTAAAACTTTTTTTAACGTTAACCCCTAGTTAGCCTAACACCAAATTCCCCAATTCCCCACTAACTTCCACCCATCCCAGCTAGCTAAATATATAATTTTTTAATATTTAAATTAATTAATAAAATAAATTTAACCCCTGAGGGTTAAAAAAAAAATAATTAACCCTCAGGGGTTAAAAAAAAAAAAAATCAGATGACATTAAAATGTATACCCTGCCAATTGATCACTGTAGTCAGTGATCAATTGGCAGGGAAGGGGTTAATTTTATTAAAACAGGGGCAGGGGGGGTGGGATTTAACTTTAATTTTTTTTTTTTTTACACAGGGAAGCAGATCAGCACTGATCCGTCTCCCTGCACTTCACACAGAACCCGGAAGTGCAGGGAGGCGGAAGGTGAGTATGTGGAGCACATGTGCTCGCTCTGACATGCGGTCAGAGCGAGCACCGGTGCTGGGGCAGCCCGATCGGGTGCTCCCGGTCTGCCTCTAATGCAGAGGCAGACCGGAGCACCGTTAACCCCGCGATTGCCGCGGTCGCGGCGATCTGGGATTAACTTAAGAAAATGACGGAAATTTTCCGTCAACGGTCCTTAACTGAAGGACAAGGTTGACGGAAAATTTCCGTCCACGGTCGGGAAGGGGTTAAAATGATTTACCCAAATTATTTGCAGTGCTTGTAAACGAACCACAGGGGAAGTCTGAGATTGCCCCATGCATAATGTTCTTTTAAAGATCAAAGGTAACATTTACTCAATTAACACCTTCAGAGCCAGGCTTAGGAAAATCTGTAATGGTAGCCCGGCCTAATATATCATTAGTCCTAAAGAAGTTAATAGTCCAGTTTGTGTATATTAGACTAAGCCTGTCAGTGCTTCACCCATTCATTCTTTCTTTTAACTTTATTTATAATCATTCAACTTACATTCATAGCTGTTAAAATTCTAGTTACTAATATTAAAGGGACACAATAGTCACCTGAACCACTAAAAAGTTTAATGTAATGATTCTGGTGTGTATAGCCTGTCGATAAACGCCCTTGATAAAGGCATCCAGGAGGAGCCGAAACATTGGGGGGTTCTTTGTATTCGTGTTTATGCCCTCTCAGGTTGTGGAATTGTGGTAAATAGTTACTGTGGATTTTTTGTCTAGCCTGTTTACTATCACTTTATTTGTATTATATTTATATCATATTTGTAAATCAGATATTGGTTTATTAAACCAAGATATTAATTTCGTATGATTTTTGGTGTGCATTCTCTGTTCATGTGTGTATAGCCTGTCCCACAGACTTTGCAACCTAACTGCCTTTTCAGAGAAAAAAGTGTTTACATTACCGCCTATTAACACCCCTAGTGGCAGTCACTCAGATGGCCACTAGAGGTGCTTCCAATCTCAGTGCTGCACAGTGTGCAGCACCTACGTTCAGAGTCTCCATGTTCTGCATGGCTCTGCAAGACCGGCACGGTCAGTTAAAAACCTTTTATCTCCACAGAGAAGGGAGGCAGGGAAGCTAAACATGTATTTCATGACTTTAGTGTGAGAAATACATGTTTGAATTTCTGACATTCCTATAAAGTTACATGAATACAAATGTGTATTCCTGACACTATATGACTAAATAGTCATATTTTCTCCGGCCCACCTACTCATCTTTCTCCAGAACCGCACAGGTCCGGTCACAGCTGGCCCCGCCTATGCTCTCCCCCCTTGGCTGAGATCAAACTTGATGATCCTAGACAACCCAATTCTTCCCATAGGAAAGCATTGGAAGGCATTCACGCATGCATGGCAAAACGCCTTGCGGCGCCAATCAACATTGACTCAATGCATCTCTATGAGGTAAGTTCAGCACCTCCATTCAGAGCGTCTAAATGATGGCCACTGGAGGTGTCCCCAGACAGTAATGTAAGCACTGCCTTTTGTCTGAAAATGCAGAGTTTAGATTGAAATACCTGCAAGGACAGGCTACAGACACCACCACTACATTTATCTGTAGTTGTTCTGGTGACTACAGTGTCCCTTTAAAGGTTGCGCTACATATAAAGGATATTATACAAAGAAATTCACTTGTGAACTTTCCCCTAGTTCTTCTATAGAAAATGTCACTCATGTACTTAAAGAACCACTCCACACCCCAAAAGCACTTCAGCTTGCTGAAGTGCTTTATGGGTGAGGAGTAGCCTAGTAAACTAGGATAAATCAGCACTTTTATAAATTTGCTAGGGAACACCGCACTGGCTGTAAATCAAACAGCCAGGGAGGATTCCTTCCTACCTCCGTTCGCTCTCCTGAGCTAACGGAAGTGGCAGGCACGCTCTACTTGAGCGTGCCTGCCTCCATACTCAGAAGAGTAGAGATGATCTCCCACAGGGAAGATCATAGTGCTGGCAGCAAGAAAAATGGACAACAATAATAGAACAATGCAGAAAAGTGGCTAGCTATTCTAAAAAAGCTATTCTAGCTATGCCTCCATACTCACCAGTTACTCTGCTCCAGACCTCAGAACAGACGTGTATGCGCGCGCACGAGCCGACACTTGAGCGTGTGTTCGAGCAGGTGCGTGTGCAGACCAATGCAGGTGATTCTCAATGAGAAGCCTCTGATTAGTTATTTTCCTGAAGAGACTGCAAGTGTTTGTTAAGATATACCCCCAATGAATACATGCATTTATTCATTGGGGTATATCTACTAAACTGTTATTTCTTGTTTCCCCCATGTGGGAAGGGGAGTGATCCTTTAAATAGATTTGTATGCTCTACTTTATCAATTATACATTATCAATAGAGGGTCGTTTTATCCCAAAGTTTCTATTTGACTATGTCATTAACACCGGTGCAAATGTTTTAACCTCAACATGGCTCTACGAACATCAAATATGTAAATTTGTGCATAGAGAAGCAATCAATGAGGTAGCTCTCATCTATGTAAAGAATAGAAATTAAAAATAAATAAATTTAAAAAAAAAAAAAAAGGGTCAGAAAGCACGAGGACCTCAAGTTTGTTTCAAATTACCTCTAACATGGCAACCAGTTCAGACTTGGAGATTCCAATTCTGTCTCTGTCACAGCTGTCTACTACGTAAATCACAGCATCAGTGTTGGAATAATAGCAACGCCAATAGGGTCTGAAACAAGAATCAAATGTGTCATTTTGTGTATATTTTTACTACAGCACAAGATAAATGTCTATCAACGTACTGCATTACACTAATGTCCAGCTGTTTAATCACTCAGGACTACTCTCAGAGATAGTACATGCAGCCTCATGACAACACACCTCCGTTTCACGTTAGGATGGAAGAAAAGGAAAGAGCAGGGTTCAACTTGAAGCCAGAGCTCTACAGACATTGCACTGTGCAAGCCTCACATTACTACCCCATTAATCAACATCTACTATATGGACAATAGTCAGCATCGTGTGGAAACATGTAAAAAGAGCAATGCAGTATAAGGCCTTTTTTATTTTCAATACTGCATGGCCACTTGGTACCTTGGGTTTGCCAAGCTTATTACCTGATACTTGTTTGTCCTCCTAAGTCCCATACTTGAAATTTAAGATTCTTGTAAGTTACTGTCTCAACATTAAAACCGATTGCTGAAAAGGAAAAACAAAAATACATAGGCAGCATAAATACGTGTACCCAACATATTGTGAGAAACAAAAAGCATGCAATGCATTTAAATGCAACGTATACATTTTGCAAGTCCAACACCAACTAGGGGCTTCTGACATCCTTTTAATAATTGAATAAATTTGATGTCCAGTATCTGCATGCAAAGAATGTCTGCATCCTATGGTCTCTATGAGGAACATTGGATTGATCCTCGGTGCTTAATGGAGTCAATCTCCACACTGAAATAAAGGTTTCATTTAAAAGTTAAACTGTGTTTCTAATTACCAAAAAAAAAAAAAAATACAGAAAAGATTCCAAATGGAATAAAGGTCAAAGCTAATTAAAAAAACGATTTTTTTACAGTTAGAGGGTTCTTTTAACATTATCAAGGTATAAATATAATATGGTGGCGAATATATTTTTCTCAGCAGATTGTGCTAATCATCTCAATGGCAAATGTATATCTTATAACCAGTGGTGTATTTAGGTTTGTGCTGCCCTAGGCAGGACGGTGCCCACCCCCCCAAAATTTACATTTTCCCCACCCCTTCCTGTTAAGGCCGCACTTTGACTGACAGACACACTCTCACATACACTGACAAACAGTGACATACACACACTCACTGATTAGACAAACTGATAGACAGACGTACACTTACTCGGACTCACACTCTCACTAACAGACGCACACACTGACTGACAGACACACATACTCACTCAAATTCACTGACAGACACACTCACTGACAGACACACACACTCACTCACTCACATTTCCCCACACTCACAATTATTATTTTTTTTAAATTTAAATCCACCCTACGTTTGGGATAGCTGGGTGGATTTCTCATCTGAAGTCCAGTGGGGCTGCTGGGCAGGAAGGCGGCCGGACGTTCAGGCCACTATGTTCCATCAGCAATCTGACGACTGATGGGAACAGGCATCATCTTGTGCGATACACAATGGATGCCTATGGCACCTTACTCTGAATAAAATTATCTATTGAACATCCGGTGGTCATGGGGTATCCTCCCAAAACCCTATTCTGTATTCTTAATAATGACAAAGGCTCCTGGCAGATGAAGTTCCTGCCAGGAGCTAAAGTATGGTGTCAAGAGGATAGGGTGCCAAGGAGGGACAGCTTAAAGGACCACTATAGTGCCAGGAAAACATACTCGTTTTCCTGGCACTATAGTGCCCTGAGGGTGCCCCCACCTTCAGGGTCCCACTCCCGCCCGGCTCTGGAAAGGGGTAAAAACTTACCTTTTTCCAGCACTGGGCGGAGAGCTCTCTGCCTCCTCTCCTCCTCCGTTCCGCCCCGTCAGCTGAATGCGCACACGCGGCAAGAGCTGCGCGCGCATTCAGCCGGTCACATAGGAAAGCATTCATAATGCTTTCCTATGGACGCTGGCGTGCTCTCACTGTGAAAATCACAGTGAGAAGCACGCAAGCGCCTCTAGTGGCTGTCAATGAGACAGCCACTAGAGGATTAGAGGGAAGGCTTAACCCATTCATGTATGTTTATTTAAAAATGGGTTAACCCTAGCTGGACCAGGGACCCAGACCACTTCATTAAGCTGAAGTGGTCTGGGTGCCTAGAGTGGTCCTTTAAGGTAAGTATATATCCCTATCTGAAATCACTCTACCACCATGTCACCTGGATGGATCTTTGTATTGGGTCTGTGTACTTGCTAAGCGAAGGTTCACAAAAAGTGGAGCTTGTATTATAAAGGTTTGTCCAAGCAGCTGTTAGCAGTGACAGGAAGGGTATATTTTTGTACATCATGTGATAACTTCTATGGTGCATCGCATGGATCTTCCATTGACCTATTTAGTACTCATCTATGCATGAGTGTACAAAAGCAAAGAGGACTGGTAGATAAGTACCAGGAGCTGAATATGGACCCCAGAAGGAAGATGGTGCACTCACAAGGGATATCTTCAGGTAAGTAGATCTCTCTTCAGATTCTCCACAGGCTGTCAAAATTTCAAGGGGCATGGTCTTTTGCAAAATACCAAAGTGAGAGAATAGCTTTAAGCTGGGCACTTGCTGTCAGTTTTGCTTAAGGGAACGAGAGAGCGTGCGCATGATTAACAATTCTCCTTTTCAGTGTATTAAATAAACATATAGGTCATCACTTGAAACACTCTCTACAGAACGCCCAACATACTTGGAATTGTGGTAACAACTTCTCCCACTTGTAATCTGTAAAGAATCGTTGTCTTTCCTGCTCCATCAAGACCCAGAATCAAAATTCTCATTTCCCGAGTTCCAAACAGGCTGGAAAAGATGCTGGAAAAGAAACCCCCTGAAATATAGAGCAAGACAAAGTGTTAACTAGGATTATTATCAGAACTATACAGTGCCTAAGGTGTGCCTTTAAAGGAAAACTCCAAGCACCATAACCACCCACTAAAATGGTTTGACTTCATACCAGGACTGAACCAGAGTACTTCTGGCACCATAACCACTACAGGCACCTGGTGGACCCCTGGTAATAAGTTAAACACTGATTGATTGCTTACAACAGGGGGGAGTTCCTTTAAAAAGACATTAGAACTACATCATCTTAATGTAGTGATTTTGAAGCATTGTATTTTCAATTTTCAAAGGTTTTCACTTTCGTCTTCATCACATACAGCATGATGACACCAAAGATGGATATCATATTGCTGTGCATGCTGCGCTGTATGTGCTCAATGCTAGCATTTGATTGAATCAGAGATCATCAGCATTAATAATCTCATTGGTAGTGGATTGTGCTGAAATAAGGAGACTGTTAAAGGCTAACAGCACTGAATTATGGTTATGATTTATGGCTCAAGGTTAGTAAATTCTTTTTTCCCCAATTTTTTTTATTTAGATTTGGGCGGTGAGGACCTTAAACTAAAGGCAGAGAAGAACACTATAGTGTTAGGAATACAAATTTGTATTCCTAACACTGTGGTGTTCCTTAATTTAATGAATATAAAACAAATACAAAATGTATTGTTAAAGGAACACTCCAAGCACCATACCCACTTCTGCACAGTGTAGTGATTATGGTGCCAGAATAGCTCTGGTGCCCCCCTTTGTAAGGATTCAAACCGTTTGCTAACAGTTTCACAACAGGGTTTGCTGGCCCCTGTTCACCTCCTCTACGAAAGCCTGAAGCGGAATGCTTCTGGCTTTCGTAGAGGAGGTGAGCAGTGGCCAGCAAACCCTGTTGTGAAACTGTTGAGCTTAACCTGGCAGTGCAGGGCTTAGCTCACTGGCTAACTGCAATTTGCTGACACTCTCAGGAGAGCAAATTCAGGAGCGTCTGGCTCTCCAAAAAAGAAATAACCAGCAACCGGCAGACCTCAGGTATGAAGTCTACTTACATCAGGAGAGCGCCAGGAAACACTTGGCACCATAACCACTGCTCACACACCTTTCAATGAAACAAAACAGGCCTAAAGAATACAGAGTTTATTGTTCTAAGGTGTTTATTTGTGAATGCACATTTAGTTAAGAATATAAAAATGAGCACAAGATACAATAGAATTGTTATTATGCTAGAAGTACAAATAACCATCACACACAAAACGGGAAATTTCCACTTGTCTACTCAACGTTGACAGAGGAATGGGTACTTCTTCAATTATAGCACAAGGCATGTACAGCACTGCAGGAGAAAATCCTGACCGCATATGCATCTATATGGTATTTCTCTGTTAGACAACCAAGCATGCACGTGCACACCTGCAGTAACATGGGTCGGTGAAGGTGCTGCACAGATGCGCTGTGATGGCAAGTTTTTTTTCCTTTCCTCCGCTGTGCTTATTTTCACCCCTGTAAACTCTATAGTAGCATTTACTGGTATGAAGGAACAAGGCACTGTCACTACTCTAAGCTTATCCATAAATATGTTGACCTCTCAAAGATCTATCCCCTAAATTATGTCTGAAAACATAATTTGGTCAAATAAGTTGCAGAGGTTACAGTGAAAAGGAGTACAATGTATTTAACCCCTTATGGACACATGACGTGTGACATGTCATGATTCCCTTTTATTCCAGAAGTTTGGTCCTTAAGGGATTAAGGTACACGCAGTTTAATTTTTACAACTGCAGCTATAAACAAACATGTAACAGAAGAAGAAAATGTATAGTAATAAGCACACAGACACAAGTCTTAGATACTTGTGATAGGTCCCCTCAAAGATCTTTGGCAGCGATTATGCACATACTCTGCATTTGTGAATGGATCTATTTGGCAAAGTAATAAAACCTGCTCTGTGGTATTTATTAACTTGGAGTGCTATACATATGGGATATTTTCAGCACTTATAGTAAAAATCGTTAAGAGTGTCAGAATTCACGGACTGAATTAAGCTACTAAATAATCTTTTCTTTCACTCACCTGGCTCCGCCCCCAATGTCAGCGCAGAGGAGGGAACTTAATCCGCATGCGCAGCAAGTGCTGTGCGGATTAGGCCTTCCCCATAGGAAACCAATGATCAGTACTATCCAATGGGGATTTTGAGGATGCTGGACATGAGGACATCCAGCGTCGTTTCATGGAGTTAAATTCTGTGAAACAGCAGGAAGCGCTTACAGTGGCTTTCTGGTAAGCAGCCACTAGAGGCAGTCTTAACCCTGCAATATAAACAAAGTTTCTCTGAAACTGCAATGTATTATATTGCCGGGCTATGGGGCACAGGGACACTGACTGCACCCAGACCATTTCAACGAGATGACGCGCTCTGCGTGCCCATAGCGTCCCTTTAGATATATCCTTAGATTTTCTTCTTGTTGCAAAGGTTATTCACCAACATGTGCGTTAGCAGGAATTCAAAATTAATGAAAACATAGCGGACATTGAAAATGTATCCAAATCATCTATTTCCCCCTCCCCCCCCCTAAACTTTTAAATTCACTTTGACTTTCAGACAGTTCACACTGACAATAACCTACAACAAATCTGGCATCACTATCATTACAGAAACTATAATGTGTACTATGTTCCTAGTTAATAACCCTGATAAGACAAGACAAGGCATGAAAAAGAGTATTATTCCGTGAACTTATAGTGTATTGGAAACTAAACTAATAAACATTTTTAGGCCTGAAAAACTGAACTGGAACAATTCTCCAACTCAGCTCCAGGGGGGTGGGGGTGAGGGGGCAGCAGCTCCCTGTAACCCAGGCTTCCCCCAAACTCTGGCCCTCCAGATACTGCTGAACTACAACTCCCATGATTCTATGAATGAAATAGATAGGCTGAGAATCATGGGAGTTGTAGTTCAGCAGCATGTGGAGGGCCAGAGATTGGGGAAGCCTGCTGTAACCCATTAACACACATACCCAGCATGTCACCCTACTGATATCATTTATAAAGGGTTAAATGACCAGCCCCCACTCTCACCCATGGCGAGCTGTAGTCCTGGCTCCGCAGCGAACCTGCCTGCACTCGGTCTCAGTCCAGGAAGTAGTGCAGCTCTGACTTCCACGTCACGGCAGAGTCGCCCTGAACCCACACTCACGCTCGTCAGCTGATTCGACACGAGTGGCAATCACTTCTAAAAAAAAAAAAAAAATTAAACGAAAGAAAATATCAGTTCCTTAGTACGGTGATACATCCAGGCGACTAATCGCCTCGTTTCACTTACCGATAGATTTTTTATTTTTTTTATTTCTTGCGGTGTCGAATCTGCGGTTGTATTTGAAGCACTTCCTGCTGTGCCTTGCTCAGATAGCTGGTGAGCTGTGTGAGCAGGAGGTCAGTTAGCTGCTGGACTGGTTGGACTGGCTGAGTGGGGTACCAGGCTCATGGCTCTCCATGTTTATGCATCAGTCCTGCAGAACAGGGTGCTCAGTTTAACCCATGGAGTTTCATTGTGTATAATAATGAATGTTTTATGTAATTATGTAATGATATGAGCACATACTCAGAAAAAAAATATTCAGATTTTTCCTTTTGGTTATTTTTTTTTTTTACCCCTGTGTATAATAATAATAATAATAGTATGTATGGTGCAGCGTATGTAATTAGTATGATACCACCTTCTCTAAAATGTAAGCTCATGTGAGGAGGGTCCTCACCTACCTCTAGTTTCTGTAACATTTTGTAATTGTCTCATTTATTGTTAAATTTCCCCCTTTGATAATATTGTAAATCGCTGCAGAATAAGTTGGCGCTGTATAAATGCCAATAATAATATTATGAGCACATACTCCGAAAAAAATTAAAAGATGGACCTGGAGTTTTCATTTGACCGTCAAGGTCCACCAGGGGAAACCCACTGGAATGTAATTAAAGAAACCCCTTGCAAGGGGAATTGTATAAAAGCAAGCTGTGGCTCAATAAAAATCAGTTGACTCCCAAAACTGTGTTTCGTCCAGTTGTTGGGGAATGGGATTGGAATTATCACGCTACCCTTTATTTGATTGCTAATTAACCCCTTAAGGACCAAACTTCTGGAATAAAAGGGAATCATGACATGTCACACATGTTATGTGTCCTTACGGGGTTAAAGGACCACTATAGTGCCAGGTAAACATACTCGTTTTCCTGGCACTATAGTGCCCTATAGGTGCCCCCACCCTCAGGGACCCCCTCCTGACGGTCTCTGGGGGGAGGAAGGGGTTAAAATCTTACCTTTCTCCAGTGCCGGGCGGGGAGCTCTCCTCCATAGCGACGTCATCGGCTGAATGCGCATGCTATGTTTATAAAAAAAAAAAAGGGTTAATCCTAGATGGACCTGGCACCCAGACCACTTCATTAAGCTGAAGTGGTCTGGGTGGCTATAGTGGTCCTTTAAGTCTGCCAGCAGAGATACTACAGTTCATACTTCTACTCCGCTACAGTACTGGGCATCTAAATGCTGAGAGAGCTGAAAGGGCATTGTGGCGGAATCTAATATCAAATTCATATGGATTTGTGTGTTTTATAGAGTCCCTGGAACTTTTTAGGCTAGGCACTCGCATGAACCCTGGTAAAGATTAGACTGCTGCCTGTTCTACTTCCCGAGCAACTATGTGAACGACGTTTGGGAGATGGGAACTACCGAACAGTGGGAGCATTTGTACCCTGAAATTAAGAGCATTTGTACCCTGAAATTAAGAGAATCCCTTGCACAGTGTTCGCACAGGAACCCTCAAACAGAGACTGATCAGGACACCTATTTCCTTGGAATTGTTTTGGGCTAGCGCCTCGTGCCCGGCCGGTCAAAACTTTACCCTGGTGGTATTCCAGTTCCACCGAACTGAGTGATCTTTGAATATGTTATACACTCAGATCTGGGCTATCATCTGTCATGAGACTCCATTGCAGCGGAAACCAAGGCCCCCAGAGCCAAAATGCACACAAAAATAAAAAGTTTTTTTACCACTAGTTGTACAGTTAAAGTCTATATAATTTTTTTTTTTTTAAAAGACTTTAGGTTAATACAGTAAAACACCAATATTTTATAAAACCCAAATTGGTCCCACTCACATGGTGCTGAGCCACTCAAATAGCTGGCTCAGACTTTGAAGCATGGTCAACAAAATGATGAAGTGGATGTTCCTTGGAAATCTGTTTAGTGCATCTTGCCACCTGGTTTCCAGTACCTTAAACCTTATGAACTCCAGCATACAAGGTAAGTGCAGCGTAACAATTTATTGAAACACTTAAAACACAGATAAAATACTAGATTCCATACAAAGAAAACATATAGTCCACTTCACTTAAGCCTTTCTCAAAAGTGTCCAGTATCCTTCTGTTGTTCCGTTCTTCCGGCTTTTTATTTCCAAATTTGGCACTTTTTTCCTCTCTGTGTCCGCTTCCGGGTAGTTCTTTATCAACGGCATGACAACCTCTTGCGGTCCCTCCTTGTTTGCGTCCCGATGTAACTGGCTGAATATTACCATGCACTTTTCTTGTGCACAGCCACTGACTTCAGGACCCATGTCCCATGCTCCCATCACATCGCAAATATTTTCTCTCAGTGCATACGGCAATTTCTCCTGCACGAAGGACTGTCCCGAATGAGCTTCCCATCCTGAGAGACAAGCATCTGTTGTTACAACTTCTGATTTATTTTTCCTAGGAGAAACTGTGAAACATATTTGAGTCTTTTTCCCACCATGTTAAATCTCTCTTGACTCTGGTCGAGAGCAGGATCATTTGGTCGAGGGAAAGGTGTTTAACTTGAGGGGGAAAGGAACTTTGAGGGAATCTCAGATGCCACTGAGCCTGCTTTGTCAACGATATTGTAGATGATAGGGATCCTAATACCGTTTGCCGTGAGGGTGTCAGTTGGCTCTTTTCCACACTCAAGATCCATCCGTGTTGTTCTAGGATGTTCTGTGTTGTGTTTCAATGGGTCAGCAATGTTGATCATATCTTTCCCAACAGGAGAATATCATCCAGGAAGTAATAAATGTGAATCCATTGTAGAGAAATCATTTGTAAATACCATTGGTGAGAGCTATAAACTGCAGGTGCACATTGTTGAGACAGAATCATAGATATTTCTGATGTTTCTTTACAATAGGGATGTGAAAATAAGCATCTTTCAGGTAGATTGAAATCATCCAATTGTCGGGAGATACCACCTTGATGATAGAGCTCAAGGATTCTATTTTGAATATCCTTGCATGCAGTTAGGTATTCAAGATTGGCAGGTCTATGATCGTCCTCCAGTTGTCTAGAACTTTGGGAGCTAGGAACAGTCTGGAAAAATAACCCTGAAACATTTCATTCTTGGGAACTGGGCAGACCACTTTTTGCTGTAAGAGCGTATCTGTAAAGTTCAGCAAAACCTTTTACTTTCAGTTTTTTCTTCTGGGAACGTAGAGTGGAAGGAGGAGAATCCTTAAATTCCAGATAGTAGCCATTGGTGTTTAGATTTCAACCAGGCATATTGCACCGATTGATCAAATGATCTTCCCGGCCACCTCAGTGAGCGCAGCCTAAACATGCAACAAAGTTCCTTGATGGGCCGGTGAGGAGATTAGAGATCTCCCTCACTGGCCCATTGCACAGGAAGGCAGAGCGGCGTAGGGAGCTGCTAATCTCATCTCCTGCTGGGGGCCATGTGCTCTGCTTCTGCGAGCTTAGGTTACAGAGAGCGTTGTCGCGGGTTACCATGGCAACGCTCTCAATAATGCCAGAGATCCTTGGAAGCAGCAGCCAGAGAACTCACTCAGACCATTAGATCACCAGAAAGGCAGAGTGGCGCAGGGAGCTGCTGATCTAATCTCCTGCCCCTGTACATACAAACTAAAGGCCCCTGTACATACAAATGAAAGCCCCTATACACACACACACACCAGCCTCTGTACATTCAAACTAAAGCCCCCTGTAAAAACACATGAAATCCCCATATACACACACAGAACAGCCCCTGTACATACACACTAAAGTCCCCTTTACATACACATGAAAGCCCCATATACACACACACACACAAAACAGCCCCTGTACATTGACACTGTAACCCCTGTAGTGTACACACACGCAGTACAGCCTATATTAATATACATGCACGCTACAGCCCATATATATGCACATGACAGGCTTAGATACATGTATGTGCACGCTACAGCCCTTTTGTACATGCACACTACAGCCACTAGATGCCCACTCTATCTGGACACACACTACATTCCATATACAAATACTTCCACTACATCCTCCTGACACACAAACACTCTCTGCAGTCCCTAGAAACACACTACCGCCCCTGTACATATACACACTGAAGCCCCAATACAAACACACACTACTCTGTGCACTACATCCGGTATTCATAAATATGCACACTACTTCCACTTTACGCACACACACTACAGCCCTTATACAAACAGTACACCCTCTAGATGCACTACATCCCATAGACAAATGCATGCACGTGCTCTCTCTCTTCACAACCCCTAGACAGAGAGGCAGACACAATCTCTACAGCCCCTAGACACACACACTTTACAGCCACTGGAAACACATACACTCTATAGCCCCTAACCACACATAATACACCACAAACAGACTGCTTTACACACAGTACACCACAAAGAATCAACTCTACACACTCTCGTAATCACCAGCAAATGCACTGCAATACTGTGATTACATTTGCTTGTGTTATGTAAAACACAGGGCATTGTTTCCATGCAAGTGCTCTTCAGCATGCGATGCTCTGGATGGACAGCAAACTAAAATGTTCACGGCCTCTCTCTGTCCCCAACCCCTCCTATTTGGCTGCTCTGCCTCTAAATGCCCGGGCCAAATTTTTTTCCCAGTACAGCCGTGTGTATGGGTTTCTGAGACAAACATAATCACCCCAAAGCTCTCCTTTGTTTAGAGGAAAAGATGGAAATGGCTTACCTTGATTCTCTAGAGTGCAACCTATTTCTTTTACGTGCTCGATAAGTGTTGAATGGAAAATCCCAGGGCAGCTGGAAAAACAGGATCAACTACTACTTAGCAGCAGCAATGGGAGAAGAGACCATGAAGATTCAAACTATCAAGAAATGCATCTACATATAAATACACAAATGTCACAGGAACTAGTCCAATGAGCAAGCAAAGAAAAACTGCAACTCCCCAATCAAATCAGAAAAACAAATACCTGTATAGAAAGCATCCCAGGTTCACCAGATTTGATACAGGGCCTTAGGAGAACTTTCACAAGCTGTCAGAACCACTGGCAACCAGAGAATCTGAAAAATGCTGTTGCTGCTTCCATTGCCATTGAAACCCACCAAACTGAAAGTGCGGCAGTCGTGCCTGTGAATTGAGTACTGATCAAAGCCATATCATAGAGTAAAAGCTCTTTACATGCGCATAGTCGCCTTTCCGGCGTATGCGGAACAAACCCAAAGAACCCCACAAATACTCGGACACCTTATTTTGGGAAAATTATCACAGCTTTAATAATATATAAATAAAGTTAAAATAATTTAAGGTCATTGTCATATATTAACATAACATATCCCCTACCAACTCCTTTAACTACTACCCCATACAATAACCCACAACACAATAAGTAAAACCACATTATAACATATAATTAACATGAAAAACATAACCATTGCCACCGGGGGCATGACATAACCATTGCCACAGGGGGCATGATTACCAGCTTTCTTCCATGTAGGGGCATACCGAGATACACCCTACAGACAATAGGTTCGGAGCTACCAATGACCTCAAACCTACAATTACTCTTCCAAACCTAACCGTTCTTAGCAAACCAAACTATTTTACATCAGGACAAACAACCTACACCCCAACTTCTCTATCCATCCCCTGCCATAGCTCAGAGCTTAACACCTTGAGCTACCTGAGTGCCCCCACCAAAAACAACGCTCTTTGCAAACCTTCTTGAAACATAACAACAAGATATCCGTACCCACCTCTGACAGATGCATGCCATCTTGCCTGTAATAACCCGCCAACTGAGCTTCCAACTCCCTATGCCTCACAACCAAACCCCCAAGATCCTGACATAAGTCGCCAGGATTTTATTCACTTTGCCCCTACTTTTTGCCAATGCCTAGTGGTCCCTAGCGTGGTGCCATTGCAATCGCTAGACCTGTGCAATTTGTTTAGTTCCGAATGTATATTCAGATGAATTTCATGCAATTCGAACATTCGGATGCTTACGAATGTCCTAAGTTCTAAATTACTGAAGTTCCGAAGTACTTTGGATTTCTGAAAAGTGGCAAAACAAGAGAGAGGGAGGGAAAATTACGTGAATGATGACAGGAATCTTGACCAATAAGCTAATTCCTGGCACTGGGAGCCTATAGATGAGTAAGTGGTTGTGGTGGCAGTCCAGGCACTTTGAGCCCTATAGATGTTTACGTGGTTGTAGTGGCAGTCCTGGCACTGGGAGGCGTAAGCCCTACAGATGTGTAAGTGGTTGTCGTGGTAGTCTTGGCACTGGGAGCCCCCAGCCCATTAGATTACTCGGCATGCAAAGTTGAGTTGGCCCACCAATGACTGAAGTTCCCGCATTTAACCTTCTTAGCTTCCCGGCCCTCCACTACTGCCTGCCGCAGTGCCCTTAACTTGTTCTCTGGCAACCGTCATTCCCCTTGGGCCGAATCTATCTCCAAGACCAGGAAGTACAAGCAAGTAGTCGGCCTCACTATCTTGTGGCCCAGCTGTATTCACAACCCATTCCAAGGTTCTAAACCCTATGTGGCACACCTCCTAACCCGCCAGCCTTACACAAAGGAAATTATCTAGGTAATGGACCATGAATCAACTGCCCGTCTCGTATTTGACCACCCACTTCAGAAAGGTACTGAACTTTTGGAAGTATGCACACGAGATGGAACAACCCATCGGCAAACACAGATTGACAAAATACCGCCCCTCAAAAAAACAGCCCAGTAAATGATGACAGTCGGGGTAGATGGGCAATAATCGAAAAGCCGCTTCCACGTCCGCCTTGGCCATCAACGGACCCTTGTCCGCACACCGTACCAACTTGACTGCTTGGTTGACTGATGCATACGACACAGAGCAGAGGGCCTTGTCAATATCATCATTCACTGAAGGTCCACGTGGATACGATGAATGATGAATAAGCCGGTACTTACCGGGCTCCTTTTTTGGCATGACCCCCAATGATGAAACCCGCAAATCGCTCAACGGGGGCTCCATGAACGACCTCACCATTCTTCCTAACTGCACCTCCTTAAATAGCTTCTCCCCCACCACATCCAACTTTAATATGTATGTCAGTCTGTCTGTCTGTCTGTATGTATGTCAGTCAGTCTGGCTGTCTGTATGTATGTCAGTCTGTCTGTTTGTCTGTATGTATGTATGTCAGTCTGTCTGTATAAATGTCTGTATGTATGTATGTATGTCAGTCAGTCTGTCTGTATGTATGTCAGTCTGTCTGTATGTCAGTCCGTCTGTATGAAAGTCAATAAGTCGGTCAGTCTGTCATATAAGGAAGCGGTGTAGAGATAAAGTGCTTAAAATGTGCAGGCTAGCCACTCCAGATAAGGGAATACTCCCAATCCCAAAAGATACACAAATACAAAAAGGGTATAGTTCCCAAAACATACACCAAATGGGGCGCCACAGTCACAAAACGTGTATATAGTTACCATACATATTCAATGGAAGACATATAAAAAATATAAATATAAAAAGGAAAAAAGCATTACAAACCAAAAATCATTGTGCTCTCAGAATCATGGTTAACAGCTAAAATACCAGACACCGCCATTGCAATACAGGGGTATTCATGTTTTAGAAATGACAGAGCAAAGAGAGGAGGAGGCATTGTTATTTATGTTGACAATTCCATAAAGTTTACCCCTTTACAAAACCTTAGTCCTCCTGCAACCTTTGATTTCCTTTCTGGCACAATTGAGATCTCGTGCAGTAAATCAATCATTGTTGCAGGAATCTACCGCCCACCTAGCTTCCCTGTGCATTCCCTTTCTGACATAGCCCATCTCCTTAGTGAAACCATAGCTCAAAACCCAAAAAGTGAACTGTTGGTCTTTGGAGATTTTAATATTGATTGGCTGAATCCTAAAAATAATAGTTCTTGCACGCTGTTTAAGACTTTGCAGCTAACGCAATTAATCTCCTCCCCAACTCGCATAAACATTAAAAGCCATAACCATACCCTGCTCGATTGGATTCTCTCCACTTCTCCTGATAGAATCCAGGAGGCCGGTGTTCTCCCAAACATTTTCAGTGATCACTGTTTAGTGTACTGCGTGCGCAAAATAAAGGCTATTAAATCCTCTCCCAAGGTTAAAATAACTAGGTCCTTCAAAAAATGTAATCTTGAATCCTTTCTAAATGACATCAAGAACCTCCCATGGCACAGATTAAACATTATCCCAGATCTAGACTGTGCTGTTGAATTCTTTCAGTCTGAACTCCTACAAATTTGGAATTTGCATGCCCCGCTGCGTAAGGTGAGGGTAAAAGGAGAACATATGAACTGGATCACAGCTGACCTCATCCAAATGTACCAGTTTTGGGATTCTTTGTGGTCAAAGTTTAAGCGTACTGGCTCTATGAATGATCACTGTGCATATAGACAATGGCGAAATATATGCACAAAACAGACAAAATTGGCCATGGCCCAATATTTCTATGAAAATCTGAACAATAACATATCAAACCCTAGAAACTTTTGGAAAGTCATAAATAAACTACAAACTCCCCCAATCCACTCCCAACCCTCCACTGTCAAAGTGGATAACCAAACACTGCAACTTCCCTTAGATGTAGCAAATGCCTTTAACAATTATTTTGTCGGATGCTCTACTGCCCTGATTGCCAAGCTAATAAATGACATGCATCCTGAAACTACAAATGTGGATCAGGTCACACTAAATGTGCAAAGGCCCAATACAGACAAGTTTATTTTTAGACCTGTACCTGTTAGTGTCATTAAAAAACATCTTAATAATCTAAAAATGAAAAACCAATCCGGACCTGATCAAATCCCAGCAATGCTGTTGAAGCTCAGTGCGCCGGCAATTGCTAAACCCGTCTCAACTCTAATTAACAAATCCTTGGTGTCTGGATACATACCCAGACTTTGGAAGACTGCGAGAGTGCTGACACTACTTTGGTTTCTAACTATCGCCCAATATCATTGCTCCCGGTATTGTCAAAAATCTTAGAAAAATGTGTCCATACGCAACTTTGTGAGTACTACCAACAATTAAACTATCTGACCCCTGATCAATCGGGCTTTCGCCATAATCACTCCACTACAACTGCCCTCCTAAAAGTTTGCAATGACATCCAAACTTGCATGGAACAAGGAGCCCTAACTGGAGCTATTTTCCTTGATTTTGCAAAGGCATTTGACACAGTAGACCACGACATTCTACTGTACAAACTAAAAAACTCAGGTATTAGTGATCGTTCGCTAACCTGGTTTCGATCGTATGTATCGGATCGCTCGCAATATGTGTCCATTTCTGACAGCGACTCCCTCCCTCTTGTAGTCACGTGTGGTGTTCCCCAGGGTTCCATTCTCGGCCCCCTACTATTTACATTATTTATAAATGATCTGCCTAATGTCTGCAAATCCTCAAATGTACACATGTACGCAGATGACACGGTAATCAATGCGAGCAAATTCAATCTACCGCAACTTGAGGCTGTGCTCCAAGACCAGTTTACAGAGGTAGAAAAGTGGATCGAAAAAAACAAACTCTTCCTGAACACTGACAAAACTGTCACAATGATCTTTGGAACAGTACCTAAATTACACAAATTACACAATTCCCACCTATCCATTAAAACAAATTCAAATGGCACACTGACCACAGTCCACTCTTTCAAATACTTGGGTATGATGTTAGACCCCAATCTATCTTTTGGCCTGCACATAGAAAAACTTGCATCTAAACTTTATCCAAAACTAGGTGCCCTGTACAGAAACAAATCCTGCCTAAGCCCTACAGTAAAGGAAAAGATTGTACAGCAAATGCTGATGCCAATCATTGATTATGGGGATATAGTATATGCATC